CTGAACTCAAGTTTTTAAACTCAAACTCAATTTAATGAATAATATTTTTTCAATTCGTCATAACTTTTTTGTTTTAATTATGATTGAGATAATTATTTCTTTTATGCGTTTACAACGAAGAGACGAATAAAACTCTACTCATATATCCTATTAAAATTTTCTATCATAATTGAATTTTTATTAAATTACTATCTAAATATAAACTCAGATTTTGACCTACTTAAACACAAATTTAAATAAATTTTTAATTTAAACCACAACTTAAATGTGTACATCTAAACACAAACTCAAATTAAATGCCCAACTTAAATTATACTTAAATACATTTTAACTCAAATCAAAATTTAAACGCAGATAACTCTAATTCAAAAAGCGGAAAAGAATAAACCCACCTCTCTTTTCAGAAAAAGTAACCCATATTTAAAAACAGCAAAGGACTTTAAAGAACAAGTATTCGCGGTTGTTAATGACTGGAAGAATCCAAGACGCTACAATTCTTTATATATTAATTAATTAAAAATCAGTTCACTTGCTTTGTGATAAGGAATTTGGAACTTCTTTGCGTTCAAAAAAATAAAAATATGGAACTTCGGGGCCCTTCCTTGCAAGGCAAAGAAAAAGCTGGAACTTTTTACCTTTTTTCTTTTCTTTGAATAAGGGAATTTTTCTTTTTTGTCTCGAAGAATTTGGTTGGAAATTGATCAAAGAATTTTCCTGATTATCTATTCATGCATGAGCTTATCTTATATATTCTTTTTACTTACTTTTTTATTGAACGGTTTTTTTTTTTTTTCCATATATGTTGTTTGTGAGTTGTGACTGTAAAGTGTTTTATCACTGGCGAATATTTTAAGACCTCGTTCATTTTGTGGATTTGAATTTTTAATTCGAGTTAAGATGTGACATTTTTTGAGAGTTTTTTACTGTAATAAAAAAAATTAAATGTGATATTTTTTAAAAATTTTTTACTGTAAAAATTTAAAACTGAAAACTCAAATCAATTAAATGAACGAAGACTTAAGATTGCAAAAAAAAAAAAAATGCAAGCACTATAGCTCTATTCATAAAAAAAATAAAAATAAAAAACTACTTTACTAGTGAATTGATCCAAAGGATAACTGGGAATAAAATGCAAGCACTATAGCTCTCTTCATAAAAAAAAAAATAATAAAAAACTACTTTACTAGTGAATTGATCCAAAGGATAACTGGGAATATATAGCACGTTTATTAAATATAATGTGACACGTCGCTGTTTTTAGTTCTTTTTTTTTCTTTGATGATGGAAGCTGCTTTTATTTTTTTGTCTTTAAATACATGACACGTCGCCGATTTTAATTTGATGATAGCAGGCATGAAAATTACTTTTTGTCTTTGTATTTATCAATAGCAATAATAACGAAAGATTTTCATGTCAAATGTCATGGACATTAATTGCGAAATAAATTTGATGTAGTCTGACAGCGAAGCTTAACTTTTAATTATTGCATTTTTTTAATCAACCTAAATTAAAGGAATGAAAATTTCCTGGTATTTTCTCTATTTTTAGAAATCTTATTGTTCTCTCTATATCAGTTTGTCGAGTATTATTTTTTTAATTTAATTTAATTTTTTAATTAAATTTAATACATATTTAATTATTAATAAATAAAAAATACGGTATTTTTTAAAATATGGAAAACACTAGAAAAAGTTTCTTAAAGTAATGATATCTTTAGTGCAAATCTTTTATCTTTTATAAAAATAAAAGATCTTTTTAGTAAGTGAGTTAGTTTTTAATTATTAAATCTGATGAAAATTATTTAAATTAAAAATATATACAAATATATAATTTTTAAATGTAAATCTAATTATTAAAAATAAAAAATTACTGAGAATTTATTTATTTTAATCTTATCTGGACAACTCCGTGAGAACAAAGTTAATTAAGATTACACATCTACTTCTAATGTTTTTGATATAATAAAAAATTATTACATAAAATTATATTTAAATTTAAATTAAAAACTTAAACCACTAAATTAAATACGTCACATATATATATATATATATTTGAGTACAAAAAGCATACAATAACGGGAAAGACAACGTACAATACAAGCATGATCTCTAGGATAATTTAGATGTGGCTGGTGAAGGGTCAGTGGACTGTGGACCAATACACCGACACTGACCGAAAGGACCCAAAAACCTCTGAGCCAGAAACGGACCAGTCCAGTACATCGAATAATGCCAATTGATCCAACAACTTGGTTACACCTTCGCAAGTGTAACAATCAAGCGGCTTTATTTCATAAATTTAAATTAATGTTGAGATTTTTTTATTATAGTATTTTTTTTTACAAAATTTAAATTTATATTTAGGAGGCGTTTAGTAAGAAATCTCATACTATAATTTAAATTATAATTTATGATTTGTTACAGTATTTTTTCTCATAAAAAATACACATAAATCAAAAATAATTTTAATATTATAATTCTAATTCATAAATTAGACGTCTCTTTCAACTTTTCACGACAACCATCCATAACTTATTGGTTAATGATCATGCAATCGGATTTCCAAAACTAAATGCAGATGATTAGTGCCTTACCCGTTTAGTTCGCTGATTCTAGTTTTTAATTCGTGTTGAGATGTGATTTTATGTGAGAACTTTTTACTGTAGTAAAAAAGTTAGATGTGATTATTTGGGAGAATTTTTTACTGTAGCAAAACTCGAATTCTAAACTTGAATCAGCAAAATGAATGGGGCCTTATATAATACACTCTCAATATATCACATGTTGAATAGAAAGCGCTACTAGCCATCATAGTTTCCACAAGAAAGTAAGGGAAACGGAAGCTATATAATCGAGTTGATACACAATCCATGGCTTGATTTGGCCCTTCACAAACAAAATCGTTATTGCATATATAGCAAGTTTGTTAAGACAAATCAAATTAACTGATTACAGTCTCATTTATTTCACCGATTTAAATTTTTAGTTTTAGGTTTTTACAGTTAAAAATTTTCAGAAAATGTCACATTTAATTTTTTTTACTGCAGTTAAAACCTCTAAAAAAAAGTCACATCTCAACTCAAATTAAAAATTTAAATCTGCGAAAGAAATGAGATCTACATAGTTAGCACAGGATTAAGATATATATATATATATATATTGCGTACGAAGGTAATCAAACAATCATTACTTAGACTATTGTACATTTGTACTTTTGAATTGAAATTTATTCGATTTTGACAAAAAAATATCAAAATTTCCTTAAAGAAATAATAAAAGAATTTCTATGTTTTTGCTATGTACTTTAAAAGTACAGAAAATCATATCATGTGTTTAAAAATATTGCAAATTTATACTAGAAAATAAATTATTTACCTAGAAAATTTTATATCTAATGCTATTTACTTCAAATATTTTTAAAACCTATTATTCACTTTAATTATTTATTGAAAAAATGCTATTTACTTATTTTTATTATTTTTTTTAAATTCCTTATAAAGTTTTGTGCTAGGCTAGAAGTAGAACAAACCTTCCTTTTCATTGGACTTGGAGGAAATCGGTGAACTCACCTATTGAATACATTGTCCTAAAATTTGTCTTTCACTCTTAATTAATACTATTTTGATTAATATAATTTTTTGATTAAAAAGTATTAATGAAGAATAAATGATAAACACTAAAAATCTAATAAGCATACGTTCTTAAAGATATTTGTCGCATTTTTAAGACAATGGGCCGAACTGGTTCTGCCTTTTGTCCTGCGGCCCGAATTTGTAGATATAGTCTGACCCATGGTTGCTCCCCCAACAACAAAAGATTTTCTTCAAAAACCCTCAAAAGCTTTTTTGAAATTCTTCTGGTTGGTTTTTAAGGACATTTTGGTAAATATTGTCAACATGGACCACTGACCAAGAAATAAGTTAGAAAATGTAAAAAACCCCGGGCTGTTCGGCAGCCACTTTTTTGAGTAAAAAACTCAAAAAAAAAAAATAACTCGAGTTATAATTTTATTTAAGTTCATATTATTTTAAGTTTGAACTCGAATTTGAACTCGAGTTTGGGACTAAAACTCGAGTTCAAGTTTTCCATTCAACTCAAATTCAGAAACTCAAACTCAAATTAATGAACAATATTTTTTATATTCTTAAAAATGCTATTACTTTTTCGTTTTAATTCTGATTGAGATGATTTTTTTTTCTATGCGTTGACAACAAAAACACGAATAAAATCCCACCTATATACTCTATTAAAATTTTCCATCAGTATTGAGTTTTTATTAAAATATTATATAAATACAAATTTAAATTTTGACTCACTCAAACACAAACTCAAAACGATTCTTATCTCAAACCATAACTCAAATGTACACAACCAAACACAAACTCAAGTTACAACTTTGACTCAAATTATAACTCAAACTCAACTCAAAATCTACACTCAAATCACCTAACTCAAAAACCCCAAATATTTAGATAATATATAAAATGTGTACCAATTACTTACTTATACGTAAAATTATGAGAAAATAAAAAAAATAAATACCTTTTAAAATACATGAATATGACTTCTAAATTTTATATTTTACTCTTAATTAATATTTTTTTAATCTTAATGAATATCTTTTTTAATTAAATAACTATTAATATATTAATTAATACAACAATAACACGTCTTAATCTCAATTTAATTAAGATCGATGATTAATATATTAATTAATAATAAAAAATAAAAATCTAAATTCGTATATTTTAAAAATAAATTCAATAATTTTCTATAAACAAATTATTGGTAAGTTACACATCCATTCTTTCTATGTGGTTTTCTTTTTATTTTTCTTTTTGTAAAATCAGGCGTAAAATTTACCACTAAATCAACCATCATCCCTCAATGGTTTTGGTAATGAAGAACTCCTTCAATAATGAATGGAATTAAAGTTCGTACCATGAGGAGTACGTACCATGAGGATTCTCATGTACAAGAATAACGTATCAACTCTAGGCATGTCCTTGAATCAACAAAATATACCATCTAATCTTTGTCCAAATCCAATATTGATCAACGTTGGATACACTCGCATTGCATGACGTTAAAACTCTGTATAATACGTCTGTAATTATATATTTATATAACGATCTGACACATGATTAGAAAACAAAACAAAGAAAAAAAAAAAGAAGAAAAATAATGATAAATTGATGCTAGGGTTTCCTCAGATCGACGACTATAACACTAATGTTATCTCTGCTGCCCCGTGCTGTGGCTAGTTCGGCTAACACTGCGGCGGCTTCAGATGCGCGGTTTCGATCATTAACGGCAATCTCTTTGGAAAATCTCCTCCTAATTTGACCCTCGAGGCATTTCTTCACAACCTTACAAGCAACTTCATTTGACAACACGTCCCACAAACCGTCGCTAGCTAGTATCATGAACTCATCCTCTTCGGTTCGCTTGGTTACTGTGACTTCTGGTTTTGATATTACAAATGGCCTCAGGTGTTGATCACCTGTAAATATATATATATACATCAGAAATTTTAAAGAAATTTAAATTAAACAATATCCGTACTTTTTTTTTTTTTTTTTTTGACAAAAACACATGCGCAAATATAACACATAAAATTCACGGCCACCGTGATCTATAATTAACTGAACCCCACTAAATAAATGCAATGCTTATTTGAACAATACCCTTGTAAATGTGACGCATTTCTCATGTGAAAAAGAGATATAAATGGTTAACATGAAAGCATACGCAAGTCTTTTGAGAAAATAAATTAAGATACATGAATGACTGGACCTACAAGCTGATGATCACACCACCGACCAAAAGGACACTTCAAATAAATATACTAATTAAAGCCTTATATATATATATTTATATAAATGCAATGCTTGTTTGACAATAACCTTGTAAATGTAACGCATTTCTCATGTGAAAAAGAGATATAAATGGTTAACATGAAAACACACGCAAGATATTTATATAAATGCAATGCTTGTTTGACAATAACCTTGTAAATGTAACGCAATTCTCATGTGAAAAAGAGATATAAATGGTTAACATGAAAACACACGCAAGTCTTTTTGAGAAAAGAAATTAAGATACATGAATGACTGGACCTACAAGCTGATGATCACGCCACCGACCAAATGGACACTTCAAATAAATATACTAATTAAAGCCTCATATATATATATGTGTGTGTGTGTATATATATATATATATTGTGTATATATATATATATATCTTATATATCTCCCTTCAAGAAGTTAACATAGGCATATAGTTGTACCATGAAATTACTTGATCAAATAAAATACGTCGATTCATAATGTTCTAATTGGTTTATGACTGTTCTTCTCCCCTCAAAAAAAAAAAAAAGAAAAAAGAAAAGAAAGAGGCTGGTGATCTTTATTATTAGTAATATTACTATTATTATTTTGTTTTTGCTAGGTATCCTTTGGCTTGGCCTTACCACACTTGTGAAAACGTTAATATGTATACATGTATGCATATATGTGCATTTATATATGTATTTTACGTAATATAGCTAGGAAGCCCAAAATTCTATTGGAAAAAATCAAATATATATATATATATATATATTTACATGTATATTTATGCACATATTAATTTGAATGTTCATTCAAACATGGAACAATATTGAGTACTTTCCAACTAGAAACCTTTGAGAATAAATGTATACCTATAGATCTGGAAGTGGAAAGGACACCTAGTACTCGGTACCCATTCCAGTTAATGACCCTTCCACCGGCAGCTTCAATTCTCTCCAGCTCATCTGCTCTCTCAGGCTGCGAATCATGTACGGAGAGGAAGTCATTAAATTATATATGCTTTACCAATCATAATGAATTACTCACTAGTGCTTGTGAACTTATTTACGTGTGTGTATATATATATATATACACACACACACACATATATATATGCTTTATTTAAACAGATAACAAAACATGAAAATCCGTAAGAAACCTGTTTGAATTCAACATTTAGCTTCAAGTATCTAACTAATAATTTAAGCCAACAAGATAAATAATACTTCCACTTTCGTGTCATTATGTAGGAATTCACGTCATTTATAATCTAGACCGAGAATGATAAAGGGATTGAAATAATATTATATATTTTCATATCCAAGACTTTCATGGTGCTTTGCGAAGGACTCATAATTAATATTATTCTTTTTGCTAATCTAAAATGAATCATTATTGTAGCAACACATATTGCATACTAAAAAACGTCTTTGATGTTTTTGTAAAAGCCGAGAAGCACGCCACCAAAAACCACATTTTTTTTCCTTTAAATATTAAAGAACAAACATTTTTTTCTTCCGAAAAATAAAATAATGCCTGCATTTCTTAGTTGTCTTCTTTCTCTAGTCTTTTTTTTTTTTTTTCGTTTATTAGCCAACTGTGTCCTTTTTTATTTTTTTATTTTTTCCACTTCCACTGCTTGGTAGCCAAGTGTGTGTATGTCCTTATTGTTTAACCGATCAGTTGTTATTTTCCTTTGCTTCTTCAAAAACCTCACAATGATGTAAGGAAACAAAAATCAAGCAAATTAATAAAGAATAATAATAATAATAATAAAAGAAGGGTAAAAAAATTGCTTCAAGCTAACAAAAGGACGACCATTGGAGGAAAAAAGAAAAAGAAAATACAAAAACAAAAACAAAAAGAAGAAATGAAAAAAAAGGAAAATGTTTGTTCTTTTTTTTTTTTTTGGGTCAATTTTGTTACCTTATGATCAGTAGACAAGGCAAGAGGAAGACCAGCCCTTGACATGACGGCTCTACAATCCCCACAGTTGGCGACCACAACCTCCCCCTCCTCCACCACCGCCACCACCGCCGTCGCTCCGACCGTCCTCGCCGCCGCATTGCCCTTCACCTCCTCGTCCATTTTACCAAAACACCCCTCCATCACCTTTTCCCACTCCAACTCTTTATCACTATTGTTATGCTCTATCTCCGAAGCCACCACTTCGTGTAATCTCTCACGGCACGCGCTCGCCACGTACGTCCCGCCATGGCCGTCGTAGACACCGAAAAAATCGTACCTTTTACTCCCTTTCGCCGCAAACCCTAGCTCCGCTCTCACCGCGTCCTCCATTTCGCTCCTCCTCCCTATCACCGAAACGACGCCGTATTTCCTTTCCCCTTCCAATCCCTCCAAAACGTTTTCCTCGCGCGTTTCGCTTCCGAAACTCTGTAAAACGACGCCGTCATTGTTATTCTCCGCCGTCGACGCGAACGATAGATTAACCGTTATCTTCAATGGATCGGCGCCATTTACTTCCAGCTTTTTCTTGCTCTCCTTCTGGTCGCCATCGCCGGAGATATCGTCGCCGCCGCCGGCGACGGTGAAGTGGATCTCCGTTCGACACGTGCAATCCAGTGTCTGGAGTTTCATTCTCTGGATCCTGCGAGCTCTTTTGGTTTTTACGAGCGATATCTTGCTCGAATCGCTGGAATTGAGACTAAGTCGCCGGTGATCTCTCGCCGGCGGCGAGTGGAGCTTCGATTTCTTCCGAATGTTCATGTTTGAGAGCTTGACAAGTGACCGACGAAGATAGAGAGGAAACAATCAAAGTGGAGAAGAGGTGATTCAAATGCGTTAAAAGCCTTTTTGATTAGCCAAAAAAAAAAAAAAAAACGTAAAAGGCCAAATGTAAAAGAAACAAATCTGAGCCGTTAACCTTTCTCGGCACGGCTGGATTATCGCCATTTGGGGTTGTACGGACCACTGGGTTGGATTTTTCAAGAGAGACGTGGACGGTTCAGATGCGGGCCCAAACACGTGGAGATCAGATCTGGCGGTTAGTGATTCGGTTGAGAGATTTTGTGCCAGTGGTCCCCCGTTTGCGGTCTCTAGAAAACATTGACGTGGCGCGTAGCGATGTTTGTTAGGGATTGTTTCAACTCTCTCTGCTGTGGTTTTCTTCCTTTTTCTTTTCGGGGACTCTTACTGACAACTGACAGGAATTATTTTAATTACACGTGTCCTCGTTTAAGAACTCGCGTGTTAAGCTAGGACCTCGTACTTTGTGTTCTCGCTCAAATTTCGTGCTGGATCGAGATTAGGGTATGTAGATGACTTGGGAATCATAACTCCACGAATACTCCGTTTAAATTATGATTCATAATTTATTATAATATTTTTTTTATAAAAAAATACACGTAAATTATAAATTATTTTAATATTAATATCATTTATTTCACCGATTTAAATTTTTAATTTTAAGTTTTTACAGTAAAAAATTCACAGAAAATATCACATCTAATTTTTATTGCTACAGTAAAAAACTCTAAAAAAATGTCACATCTCAGCTCGAATTGAAAACTCGAATCCGCGAAGTGAACGAGGCCCTTATGATTCTAATTAATGAACATCTCCTTAGTATTTATTTATAGTGATTTTAAATTATAATTCTAAATTACTATTTAGTTTAGATGATTTAAAATTTAATGTGATATTTTAAATTAAAATTATTTATGATTCTAAAATTATTATTTTTTTATTTAAGGTGATTTAAATTCATGATTTTGAATTATAGTTTCAGAATCATGATTTGAGCCTAAAATCATAAATTATGATTTTAATTATAGAATCATGATTAAAATCACTCTGATTTAAATTCTCGTACCAAATGAATATTAATTTATTTATTATCTAAATAGTGCATGTTTGGTAGAGAATGTTATTTTATTAAGACTTCGTTTATTTTATAGATTTGAGTTTATAATTTGAGTTTTATTACAGTAAAAAGTTCTCAGAAATAGCCATATCTAACTTTTTATTATAGTAAAAAGTTCTCACATAAAGTTACATCTTAACTCAAATTAAAAACTCAAATTAACGAACTAAACAGACCCTAACTATTAAGAACTTTTATTTTCTTTATTTTAATTGTTAGATTAATTTTTTAACATTTGATGTGTAGGAATTTTTATATGGAATGCTATAAATTTTTATGTGAATATATACATATCTAATTGTTATAAACTTAATTCAACAATTACAAATAATAATCACATTCGTTTTATTAATTTGAATTATAAACAGTGTTTTTTACAAATATTTAAATTTAATTTTTTTAATAAAATATTTTTCTTATATATATTTACTTTATAATTTAAAGTCATGTTTATTTCATAAAAAATTTTCACATATAATAATATTTTAATTTAAATTAAAAACTCAAATTAACAAAATAAAAAGACATTAAATTTTCAATTAGAATAAGTAAATATACTGTGCCAATAAGTATTGACGTTGGAAAAAGACAAACTTCGTCATAAAGATTTTTTTTCCCCTTTAAAAGATTTTGGGTATCGACGCGATATCTAAGGAAGTGGGTCACGGTAACATGTGCGGCCGCACAGCTTAATTATTGTGGTCTGGCCGTGTCAAAATTGGCCACAATGAATAAAGCCGTGCAGTCTTGTCTAGTGATAAGATAAGATGTTTCCTTTTGAAAAAACGGAAAATCCTTGTAATAGGAATTTTTCTTTATGACGCACGTAATATGAATTTTATTCCTTTATACACTTTTCACAAACATACTAGCACATGGATTTATTGTTTCATGCGTGTTTCCTCTACCCTTATAACAAATTTGGGTCCCATCTCGTGGCAAAGCATATTTGAAATCCAATTAGATTTAGGCATATATATTCACACATATAATTAATGCTAGTCTTGCTGTTTATATATTAGGAGGACACTTGGAGGCTCCGCATTGTGGACCGTTGCAGAACGTTCCTCAAGACCCAAGGTATGGTCCCACGTAAAGTGAGTCTCAACATTGGGACCCACCTTTTGTTTGTATGCGTAGCTCCATAACAGGACTGTTATTTTTGGATTAACAAAAAAAAAAAAAATTGTTATTTTTTTTAATTTATAAATCTCATTTATTTTACTGATTTAAATTTTTAATTTTTAATTTTTATAATTAAAAATTTTTAAAAAATATCACATTTATTTTTTTACTACGGTTAAATTTTTTAAAAAAATGTCATGTTAGGACTTTTGTTAGTTGGCAATTTTTGACAAAAGATTGTAACAACTATGGAGATTATGTCTCTGTATTTTTACACCGGATTTAGAATGTTTGACATCTATTGAGTTGATTCTTTCTATAGAAGAATGTAAGTTTTTTAGGAGTGTAATTTCAGAAGGTTGATTTTGGTTATTTGATTGGCTCTGTCTATGAAAAGTATTTTTGAAAAGGTAATTGGTCGTTAAGACTGTTCTTTTAGAAGAAAAAATTGGGCAAATATGGATTGATTGCTTTTTTTATTATTCAGGGACTGTGGGTTGCTGGAGAGGAGGTGATGGTCGTGTGTGGCTGAGGGAGAATATAATCTACAGGAAAAACATGTGCTTCTTGAAGATTCTTAATTGGTAATTGAAGAATTTGGCTTTCAGGAGAAAGTTTTTCGAAGTCGAGTGGCGCTCGGTGGACAAGGCCACTAAGAGGATTCTGCACAGCGGCGGCGACATCAAGGAGGGAGTTTTTGAGTGTGTAAGACCGATTGGTGATTGTAATTCTTTGAACTTAGTGGATTGTTCACTGTTTGGGCGTGGCCCCGCAGATGTAGGTGTGCGCACCGAACTGCGGTATCATTTTTTGGTGTTATTTAGTTTTCTCCTGCATTATTTTTGATTCATGCATGTTTCCATTTACTGTCATTTGATCACCAAAGAACTTGACCATTAATTGCATGTGTTGCTAAAAGTGTTGTAACACTTTTTGTAACACTTGTGTGAAAATCAGACCTTACAATTAGTATTAGCACTAACTATTTGTTTGGTGATGTTTTGGGATTTGGTTTGTAGTGTTATGGATGGACTTTTTGAAAGACGGTGGCTCAGTTTCGCGTCTTCCTCTCCTTGATGGTTCCAATTATGACTATTGGAAAGCACGTATAAAGGCTTTTATCAAAGCTATTGATGGAAAGGCATGCCGTGCCGTTCTAACTATGGACACACCCCATCACCAAAGATGATGCTGGAAAAGAAGTATTGAAACCTGAAGAAAAGTGGTCTACTAAAGAAGATAAGTTGGCTAATAAAAACTCAAGAGCATTAAATGCCATTATCATTGGAGTTGATGCCAATCAATTCAAACTTATTTCTATGTACAAATCAGCCAAGGACGCTTGGGAGATATTACAGACAACTCATGAGGGTACGACAGCAGTTAGACTATCAAAGTTGCAAATCCTCACTACAAAGGTTTGAGAATCTTCGTATGCTTGAGAATGAAACAGTTTCAGATTTCAATTTCAAATTGTATGACATTGCTAATGAATCATTTGCTCTTGGTGAGAAATTTTCTGAGGACACCTAATGAGATCACTCTCTCGAAGGTTTGCTTACAAAATGACACTTATTGAATAGGCCAAAGACGTGCGATCAATGAAGCTTGATGATTTAATGGGCTCTTTGCGTACTTTCGAGATGAACCTGAATGAAAACAAGAAGGAGAATGAGAAAAACATTGTGTTTCAAGCCGAAGTTGAAGAAGTTGAGTCTGATGATGAAAAAGACTTAACCGAGTCCATAGCACGAGGATCGAAAAATTTCAACAAGGTGATAAAGAAGTTTAATAAGAAGAACATAAATACAAGCTATGACAACAATAATTTTAAAAAGAATAAAGCTACAACAAGTGGTACTGATTTCAAGATAAAAAACAGAGGTATTCAATGTCGGGGAGTGTGATGGGTATGAGCACATTCAATCCAAGTGCGCCAACACTCTAAAGAAGAAGAAGAAGTCTCTGAATGCAACGTGGAGTGATAAAGACTCTGAAGGCAGTCAGAAAGATGAAGACCATGTGAGTAACTACGTTGCTTTTAATATTTATGCTAATTAGGATGATGTTTTGTTGGTCTTCGAATCGAATTCGGTTGCGGAAGCGCGGTGGTGTGGGGAGGGAGGCGGATCGTGTATAACAAAAATTTTCATAAAACCTTTGAGATACTTTATAGATTATATTAATTTATGCACGAATAAATTAATCTCATTAATTCATTTATTAAGAACTCAATCAGGAAAAATACTTGGAAGCCGACTCGGATGATAACTTGAGTTCTTTGACCACGAACAGTCCTTGCTCCAATCTTTGTGTTTAGAAAACCAATGTCTTCCACGTCAATTCCTAGAATCCACGAAGACGTGTGTGTGGGCACACATGAGATAAAACAGGTTACAATAAACACTCAAATTTCTACAAACTCCAACGCATGCACGATGTGGAATTTTTAGAGAAAAAAATTTCTCCTTTCTCTATGTGTTGAGAATTTCGGCTAGCCTTAACCAATTAGGGCTGAAAAATTATTTCCTTCTTTCTATAGAGAAATTTCGGCCACCTCTAAAATTAGGGCAAAAATTAATTCCGAAAATTGTCTCAAAAATTGTCACAAAAATTGTGTCCACAATTTTCTACTATTCTCTTATTTATAGAGTAGAAGTCAAACTTCTAGAAGGAATCAAATCTCTATCTCCAATTTGAATTTCGAACCAAAATTCTCTCTATCCCTTATCCCTTAGTGTGGCCGGCCA